ACTTTCAAAGCTTAAACCTTCAACAAATAAGAACGGAAATGCCCTATCAAACAAGAACGGGAACAAAAGTAGTACACAGAGCTACTAGTACAAAGTTGAAGGATCACGGAGACCTTGCATCGAGAGCGACACATGCTGCATAATGGTCGAGTGTTGTGATTGTTAAGAACCACCTCCAGCTTATGTCCGTAGAAGTCAATGATGCTTCCTGGTATGAGACGTGAGAAATCTCCTAGTACACACTCAGCATGAGCAGTGCCCCCACAATCAAAGCATGTATAAAACCATTTACTTGGATCCAATTCTCCCTCACAGATGTCGCACCAATATTTTCCATTTGCCTTTTCCCCACAACATAGAGTGAGAGGGTGCTCATCGTTCCTATGCTTTATCTTTACCGGCAGACTAGCGCACCGTAAACACAACGTACATCCACAAACATCACAACTGAGCATATGACCAAATATCTTCCTATCGCATGAATCACAACGGTGACTCTCCCCATATTGAAAAACAAAATATAAGGGATGTGAATGGCCACCATGGACAAACGGCTCAGAAAAGAAACTACAATGTAGATCAATATGTTGCGGCGTCTTTTCTTGTGACTTGTACTCGAAACCAGTAAAATACTTTCCACATAACCTGCAATCTAGAACCTTGTGAACACCATTACCTGGTCCTTGTAATAGGAATGGTAAGCTATGATAGACAAGCCTTTTCTTAACAGGAAGATTTGCACACCTTTCATGCAGGATGAAACAACATTCCTCACAACTATAGATTGGGTCAAATCCTACCGGATGGCTACATGCCTCGCATCGTGTACTATCATCATGAATGATATGCTTCGTGTGGAGCCTTAAAGTATGTTTGTCATGACTAAAATGACGTATCAAGTCATCACCTACCACCTCAAATGGCGCAATATCTTCGACTATCTCAGGTTTCCCTTTTAGTTCCGCACCATCCCATACGCCATATCTCGTTGCGCACCTCGAATGAACTGCATAGTTAGGGCAAACTAAGCAGGAATAGGCTCCATTGTACTGGCATAGAGGTTTGCGGCAGACTCCACATTTCAAATACCCATGACCAATATGATGAGTAAAAGAAATACGATGATCATGACGATTAATGTTTATGACTTGGGGAAAGTCGATACAACGTGGATGCACCGCAAAACCACACTGAAGACACATATAAGGGAGTATAGCGTCAGGTACTCCACAAACGTTACAAGTGCACGAGACTAGTCTTGTAACGAAAGTAAGTGGATGCTTATGGGTCTTCGCATTCTCGATGATAAGTGGTGGTGGTGATTTGGTACAGATAATACACAGGCTGATGTCGCAAATAGAACAGTGATAAAGCATGCTTCCTGGTTGTCTTCGGCATATATAACAAGTTTTCACATCCTCTGTAAGTGATTGAGATGCGGTTAGCTTGAGAGGATGACTGGAGTGACAAGAATGGTTTACCTCTTTTGAGAGATGAGCACATTCCGGGTGGAAGTACACTTTGCATTCAAAACATGAATAAGAAGCTTCGCGAATAGAATCCTTGCATACTTCACAAGGGA